GCGAAAGAATCATAGAGTTAAAAAAAATAAAAGCGCAATCAAGAGTAAGACAATTTCTAATCAGCATAAAGCAGCTCAAATTGGCCCTAACAGTTTTATAGATTTTCTTAATGTGACTTTTGAAATTCAACTGATAGTCTATATTTATTCCAAGGTACTTTACTTCAGGTACTTGTTCGATAAGTTCACCATTAATTTTTATGTTCAGAAGTTGTACTGAGGGTAGTTTTTGAATAGAGAAACAGATAGAGTTTGTTTTTTTAATATTTAAAGTTAAATGAGATGAGGCCAGCCAAGATGATATTCTTTCCAAGTTGGCATTAAGTTTGTCAGCCACAGTAGTACAGGTATCAGCAGAAGCATACACAACTGCGTCATCTGCATACATCAGAAGACCTATATCTGGACATACTACATCCGGCAAATCGTTAATATATAGACTGAAGAGTAAGGGTCCCAGGACCGTGCCCTGAGGAATACCTGTCTTGATTTCAAGAAAAGTGGATTTCACACCGTTAATCACAACACATTGTTCACGGCCCTTTAGATATGATTCAAACCAGGATAATGATTTTTTGGATAAGTTAAACTTGCTTAATTTGGAGATTAATATATTGTGATTTACTGTGTCGAAAGCTTTTTTTAAATCCAGGAACACAGCACCAGCTACATTTCCCTTGTCAAGAAATTGTTTGATATTTTCAGTTAGTAGACAGATTGCAGACTCTGTGGAATGGTTATTCCTGAATCCAAATTGTAGGGGACTAAGATATTGATTTATCTCAAGATGGTGAATGAGTTGTTCTGAAACAATCTTTTCTAAAACTTTAGACAAAGCTGGAAGAAGACTAATAGGTCTATAATTACAAGACATTTTGTCATCTCCTGATTTGAAAATCGGTGTTACCAGGGAACTTTTCCACCCATCTGGGAATTGTCCGGATTTAATGGAAATATTAACAATGTTTGTAAGAGGTTGGACCAAAATGCTGCTATATTTTTTAAGAAACACTGTGTCTAAATTAAAAATATCTTTCGAAAAGGAGGTGTTTAGGCCCTGTATGGCTTTCAAAACAGCTGTCTGATCGACCTCCTTCAGCTGGAATGAGTTGGCTTGATCTTCAGGCACGTATACTGTTGTCAAGCCTGTATTAATGCAGCTTGGGAAGCTTGATGCTAAGTTGTCAACGGATTGTACAAAAAAGGTATTAAATTCATTAGCAACTTGTGTGCTATCTGTAATAGTGTTTTCATCCTTTCTAAGTTCATATTTTGTTTGGGTGAAGTTACCTTTTGGATTTAGTAGGCTATTTAGCTTTTTCCACATTAATTTGCCGTTCCCTTTAACCTCTGTTAGGGCGTGAATATAGTAATTTGATTTAGACAGTCTAAGTTCTTTTACAACTTGGTTACGCAAACCTTTAAATATTTTAAAATCTATGTCCCTTCGGGTCTTAATAAAAGTTTTCAAAGCCAAGTCTCTTTTTTTCATCGTTTTTCTAATGTTATCGTTCATCCATGGTAGCTGATATTTTCTCTGGGATTTCTTTTGCTTTTTAGTGTATTTATTGACAATGCTCTCAATAGTGGACATACATTTATCACAGTAGTCATTTGTTTGATCACATTGTTGAAGCTCATCCCAGTTAACACTCTTTAACTCGGTTTCAAATTCAATCTGCTTCTTACGAGAAATTTCAAATTTATATACGTTCTTATTTGAATTTAAAAATCTATTCGTTCTTTTCTTTGTCAATTTTCTTGCAGTTAAAATCATATTATGATCGGATAGACCAGTAACTAAATTATATGTTTTTATGATTCTATCAGGTTCATTAGCAAAGACTAAGTCTATCAGTGTTTGAGTCTTCCTGGTAATTCGCGTTGGGGTTTCAATCATTTGAATAAAATCATGTTTGGATGCAAGAATTTTCAGTTTTTTCCTGCATTGTTTATCCATCCAATTTATGTTAAAATCACCGAAAACAAGCACCTCGTTCTTGTGGTTAAAATTTTTGAACATAACATCCAAATTTTCACAAAGCTTTGTGGTGCATGCAGAGGGAGGATTATATACCACTAAAATGTAGAATTGCATACTTTGCGATAATATTACATTAATGCATAAACATTCAGTTGACATATCAACAGTTGGGTACATTTGCTTTGCATTAAATGTGTCCTTAATATATATCAGTACACCCCCACCCCTCCCTACAGTTCGGTCCCTTCTATAACATGTATACCCCGGAACGTCAATTAAACAGGTTGGAGTTTTATCATGCAACCAGGTTTCACTAATACATAGAAAGTCGATGTTAGACTCAGACAACAGTATTCTGATCTCGTCTTGCTTGGGGAGTAAGCTTCTGATATTTAAATGACCTCCTAAAATACCTTTAGGCTTTGTAACGGGATCCCAGACCACTCTGGCATGATTAACAGTCTGAAAAAGTAAAGTTTGTCTCTGTTTAGTCAATGCTTGTGTTTGGAGTGATCTTACTTTGTCGGTGACGATTCTTCCTCGCCGCTCAGCACTGTTGGCTGAGCGGTTCGGGGTACTCGCGTAGGCCGGTTTGTTGTTGTCCATCGTCCCGGTCACAATCAACCCGTCAACGGCATCACTCAGCTTCTCCGCCTGTTTCCACGACCCTCCAACGTCACGGCCCTCGGTTTCCACGACCCTCAGGTCTCCGCGCCAGGCTCCGCTCTCGCCGGTGGACAGAGAGCAAAGATCCCCGGGCTGTCCGGGCAGCGTGGAGCCGGTCGAACTTGCGTCTTCCAATGCAAGAAACTCCACACGCGCGGGGGGGAGAAGGTCCACCACGCCATAAACAGGCGCACCCACGGATGCATCCACTGACGTTAGGCCTGGGCCTGGATTGAGTTGCACATCACCCGCCAGCAGAACCAGGAGGAAGAGGTATGATACCGCACAAGATTTATTTACTTTAATGCGGTTGGAGTGACCTGGTGTTATACGACAAGTGCGCTTTGAGTCAAAAATTAAAAAAGAGCGGTAAATGATGAATTGTCCGTATCCAAAGTTATTCAGATGTATTTTCTGGGGGGAAAAGCTTAGTACTTTATCATTTCTTCCAGACTCTGGTTGGGTTCTAGGTTTTAAGAACCCAGTCGTAGAGGCAAAGAATGTGGAAAATACCGCTATAGTGCAGAAGAACAGCAAATGGAAACTCAAGTAGAGACTCAGATAACATTGTTTGTTGTGCTGTCTCTGACGCTCAAGTTGTTTCTGTTTAAGACGTGCGCGCTTGCTTTGTTTTTTGTTTGTTATCGGCGGTGATTGCGTCGGTGTTGAAAGCTTGGTCGACCAATGTTTAAAATATATAAGTCTTAAAAAGAGACGAGTTAATCCCAAAAAAAGTGCAGCAAACACGGAGCCCCACCAACCGTGTGTGCGCGCCATTCTCCAGCTGTCAGTTCAATGGTCTGATCCATGTGGCTTCAAGCCGAGACGAGATTTATTAAAGGACTAGCACTGTTGTCGCGTGTGCCGGCATGGTCGAGTTAATCCCAAAACTCAGTTCTAGGGGCTGGTCTCTCTGGGGCAGGGGCTGGTCTTCCTGGAGAAGGTCTAGGGTCAGGGGCTGGTGTTGCTGAGGCTGTTCTAGGGGCTGGTCTTCCTGGAGAAGGTCTAGGGGCAGGGGCTGGTGTTGCTGAGGCTGTTCTAGGGGCTGGTCTCTCTGGGGCAGGGGCTGGTCTTCCTGGAGAAGGTCTAGGGGCAGGGGCTGGTGTTGCTGAGGCTGTTCTAGGGGCTGGTCTCTCTGGGGCAGAGGCTGGTCTTCCTGGAGAAGGTCTGGGGTCAGGGGCTGGTGTTGCTGAGGCTGTTCTAGGGGCTGGTCTCTCTGGGGCAGGGGCTGGTCTTCCTGGAGAAGGTCTAGGGGCAGGGGCTGGTGTTGCTGAGGCTGTACTAGGGGCTGGTCTCTCTGGGGCAGGGGATGGTCTAGCGCCTGGTGTTGCTGAGTCTGTTCTAGGGGCTGGTCTCTCTGGGGCAGGGGCTTGTCTTCCTGGAGAAGGTCTAGGGGCAGGGGCTGGTGTTGCTGAGGGTGTTCTAGGGGTTGGTCTCTCTGGGGCAGGGGATGGTCTTCCTGGAGAAGGTCTAGGGACAGGGGCTGGTGTTGCTGAGGATTTTCTAGGGGCTGGTCTCTCTGGGGCAGGGGTTGGTCTTCCTGGAGAAGGTCTAGGGGCAGGGGCTGGTGTTGCTGAGGCTGTTCTAGGGGCTGGTCTCTCTGGGGCAGGGGCTGGTCTTCCTGGAGAAGGTCTAGGGTCAGGGGCTGGTGTTGCTGAGGCTGTTCTAGGGGCTGGTCTTCCTGGAGAAGGTCTAGGGGCAGGGGCTGGTGTTGCTGAGGCTGGGGCTGGTCTAGGGACTGGTCTCTCTGGGGCAGGGGATGGTCTAGCGCCTGGTGTTGCTGAGGCTGTTCTAGGGCTGGTCTCCCTGGGGCAGGGGCTGGTCTTCCTGGAGAAGGTCTAGGGGCAGGGGCTGGTCTCCCTGTGGTCTTCCTGGAGAAGGTCTAGGGGCAGGGGCTGGTGTTGCTGAGGCTGTTCTAGGGGCTGGTCTCCCTGGGGCAGGGGCTGGTCTTCCTGGAGAAGGTCTAGGGGCAGGGGCTGGTGTTGCTAAGGCTGTTCTAGGGGCTGGTCTCTCTGGGGCAGAGGCTGGTCTTCGTGGAGAATGTCTAGGGTCAGGGGCTGGTGTTGCTGAGGCTGTTCTAGGGGCTGGTCTCTCTGGGGCAGGGGATGGTCTAGCGCCTGGTGTTGCTGAGGCTGTTCTAGGGGCTGGTCTCTCTGGGGCAGGGGCTGGTCTTCCTGGAGAAGGTCTAGGGGCAGGGGCTGGTGTTGCTGAGGCTGTTCTAGGGGTTGGTCTCTCTGGGGCAGGGGATGGTCTTCCTGGAGAAGGTCTAGGGGCAGGGGCTGGTGTTGCTGAGGCTTTTCTAGGGGCTGGTCTCTCTGGGGTAGGGGCTGGTCTTCCTGGAGAAGGTATAGTGCCCTTGTGCCACTTGCTGATAAATAATATGGGCAAATAGCCCAAGGCAGAAAGTTTGCGGACCTGAAATTAAACAAAGTAATTAACACATTTCCAATATATTATGTTGCTACATTACTACATAAATGGCAGTCCATCTACTATTTAAAGACCTAATCTGGTAAATTGTTAACGCTTTCAATAAGTGTTAAGTATGCGATGAATAAAGATATATTGTAAAATTAATACAAAAAATATTAATTCTTGAGTACTTCTTAAATTGTCACTGTCAGGCTCGATATTGTTTAAAAATAATTCATCAGTTGTTGTGACAGTAATGAAGATGGTGTCTACTCCACACTGACTTTGAATCAGAAACAGAGGGCAGTTTACTTGGTGTATAAACTAAGTACTACTTGATTCATAGTTCAATTCCCAGTCCCTAAGTGTTTTAATATAAGGGTACTCTAGAATATTGCCTACTTATGTACATACACCAATGCATTTTCAAGATTTTTTTTCACAACAGAAGTGCACCTGCATATAATGAAAGTACCTTTACATATTGTGTATGGACAGCGTTTTGGCAAACTGTTTATCAGAGCAACTCACATGTGATGTACATTTATCACTTGAGTGTCATGTGTGCTGCAAAAGTAATAGGGATGTTTTAAAGCGATTTTCTGTCTAAAATTTCACACTGACAAGATATGCCAACTTCTAACATCGAAGCACGCATGTGAAGCCTGGTACACAGCACACAGCGTGACTGCAATGTCTTCTGTCCATAAACAAACATGGTACCAAATACTGTATGTACTTTGGGCTTAATATTGATTACCACTCAATTAATGAAGCATAAGCAGTTTTACTTACAGCTGTTTGGGCAGAGGCAACCATCCGACATGCATTTTTGTTTTTGATGACCCTCTGGCCCCAGTCATCATTAATTTTTGTAGTTTTTAATAACTGCTTGCTTGGCAGTGTAACAAAACAAGCACTGCAGGTTTTGCGGTTGGCCTGCTGACAGACCTGGCAGCTTGGGCAAGGCTGGAATTTTGGCTTTGTCATTCTGAAATGTACACACATACAAAAAATATAAATATTAAAAAATCATACAGGGATCCGAACACACATAAGTGCAAGAAATACAGAGCTAGTATATATCACTATATATCAACATATCCCTTTTCTAAAATTATCAAAGGTAATACTAGATCTGGATGTTTGCAAGCTGGAAAATTATTTAAGTGCAGAAAAAGTGTGAAACATAAAGTTCACACTAAAGTGAAACATAAACTGGACCTCTACGTCCCTGGGCTAGAGGTCCAGTTGCACCGTAAACCAACTCAATCTCTTCCACCTCTATTTATATTGATTGCATTTACTGAATGAGCACTGTGCCACTGCTTGTCCGACTGTTACTGTACATTTTATTTTCGACACTGTATTTTATTTTTATTATTATGATTTTTTTTTATTCTAAACTGTTTTAATTATTCTGACTTCTTTAATTTCTTCCATGTAAAGCACTTTGAATTGCCACTGTGTATGAAATGTGCTATATAAATAAACTTGCCTTGCCTTGCCTATGTTCAAAAGAGCTGTTTGCTTTCCTGGAGTCATAAACCATCTTTGAATACTGGCATTCCTCACAAAACTTAAGTTTGATTTACTTAGACTTTATGTCAACGGCAATATTTTCTTATATGTTGGCCTATATTGTGCAGACTCCTGCATCTAAGAAAGTACTGGCTAATATAAGGTAAGTATATGGGCTAAGGTTAGGTTCAGGGTTAGTGCCTAGTTATAACCCATGCAGTTATTGTGATTACTATAATAAGTACATAGTATACATGGGTAACAGCAGGACTGTAAAATGAAGTGCTACCCAAATTTCATTTGGTGTAATAACCAGATATTATATGCAGTCTCTATCCATCAAATTGGTATATTGTGTGCTTAAAACAACACCAACAAATTATATTCTCTGATTCCGACCTTTAAACTTTCAGTTAATTACATTCAGTGGAGAAGAACCAGCAACCCAAGTCCTCCGTCCCTCTAAAAAGCAACCAGCACTCAGATGTCAAGAAAGAGAGAGAGAGAGAGAGAGAGAGAGAGAGAGAATAAACAATACAAATAAAACAATAAACAAGATGGTGCTGTTTTTGTAAAAGGACAGGGATGAAGGAATCTGCAGAGAAAGAGAAGAACAAATCAAAAAAGAATACATCACCAAACTTACTTGTATAAACCTATATATATAAATATATAATAGTGTATTTCATTAGCATATACAACATGGTTTTTTATATATACTGCTCAAAAAAATAAAGGGAACACTAAAATAACACATCATAGAGCTGAATGAATGAAATAATTTTTCTTTACATTGTTGTTTAAGTGTTCCCTTTATTTTTTTGATCAGTGTATATAAATGTTTTGGTAATTTTGGACTCATAAATGCTTAATCATTTATATTACTTATTAGACTGTTGTAAGTGACTTACCGTGGTGTAATCGCGCTGGGCAATGGTTTCAGCTGCGATGGTCGCACACAATGACGTGTGCACAAAATTGCGCCAAAATATCAAACATTATGAAAAAACTTTTTCTTTAGTTTTAATATTTTATATCCTTTCTTATAATTTTCAAGGGGTCGGCATGAATACCTAAGTGAAGGAAACACGGATTTATGTAGCCATTACATTTAAAAACATCACCCAGACCCAGATAGCAAACTGACATTGAATCAACGTGGAAATATGACATCGAAACAACGTTGATCTGACATTGTTTTGCTCATCGAATTAACGCTGAACCAACGTCAGACGCGTCATTCTTTCAAAACTAACGGAAAATCAACTTGAAATCAACGCGTTGTTTTAACGTTATGAAAGCAAACCAATTTTCGATTTTCATTTAGCTTTGAAGAATGCCGCGTCTGACGTTGGTTCAACCTTAATTCGATGAGCAAAATCAACGTTGTTTCAATGTCATGAGAGACGTCGTTTCCACGTTGATTCAATGTCAGTTTGCTGTCTGGGGAATGCATCCATCACTTTGCCAAAGGATATGTCCATATTAAGCAATCTAAACATTTCTCCAGAAGGCTATCACAACTTCATAATCAGTATTGAGATGGTCTATAAAAGTAGGCTAACCCTTTTTTTTGCCAAAATATATATATATATATTAATTGTACTAGGCTCAATGGCATTGCAAACTGAAATCGACAATTATAAAATATCCCACCTAAATTAAGGCATGTTTAAGCCAACAGCAAACATGCAGTCCTGCTTTTATGTTGTTTTATTGTAGTCCAAACACATTTGCAGCATAAAATTAATCACCTGAAACACTTTCCAGCGCAGGCAAACCTCTGGATGGATGGAACCCATTTCGTGAAAATCCAAAGAAGATTTGCATTCAAATATCGAATGACCCTCTACGTTATCAAATGACTAATAGAGGGTACCCTCAATGTCGGTATATTGACGTGAGGGGGAAATGGCTTAACGGCAGTACCCAGATAGCAAACTGACATTGAATCAACGTAGAAACAAGACATCGAAACAACGTTGATCTGACATTGTTTTGCTCATCGAATTAACGTTGAACCAACGTCAGACGCGTCATTCTTTCAAAACTAACGGAAAATCAACTTGAAATCAACGTTGTTTCAACGTTATGAAAGCAAACCAATTTTCGATTTTCATTTAGCTTTGAAGAATGCCGCGTCTGACGTTGGTTCAACGTTAATTCGATGAGCAAAATCAACGTTGTTTCGATGTCATAAGAGACGTCGTTTCCACGTTGATTCAATGTCAGTTTGCTGTCCAAAATAAAATATCCCACCTAAATTAAGGCATGTTTTAAGCACACAGCAAATATACTGTAATTATGGCATTTTAATGTTGCCCAAAATTATAAAAAAGAAAGAAAAATGAGTGAGACCGATTTAGACAAGTGTTTCTGCCCCACGAAAATGGTCATCGCATCAATGATTGTAACAGTAGCCATATGCGAAGCACGCTGCTGCTAAATACACATTTGCAGCATAAAATTAATCGCCTAAAACCATCATTTCCAGTGAATGCAAACCCACTCAATGGATAACCCCATTTTGTTAAAATTCAAAAATAAGGGATTTGCACTCAAATCTATTGGACGACCCTCCACAGTGTCGAGCGAAGTATAGGGGTACCCTCAACGTCAGCTTTTAGACGTGAGGGGGAAAGGACCAAAGAAAAAATGAGTGAGACCGAGTCAGACAAGTGTTTCTGCCCCACGAAAATGGTCATCGCATCAATAATTGTAACAGTGGCCATATGCGCCGCACGCTGCTGCTAAACACACATTTGCAGCATAAAATGAATCGCCTAAAACCATCATTTCCAGCGAACGCAAACCCGCTCGATGGATAACCCCATTTCGTTAAAATTCAAAGATAAGGGATTTCCACTCAAATCTATCCACAAGTTTCCTACGCCCCATGAGGCCTTGCGTCAAAAGTGGGCGCGACTTCCGGTTGGAAGTAAACAAAGCGCGATTTGACATGCTTGACACTCGTTCATTCAACAGTTGACAGTCATTCAAGTTATAGCGATCCAAACTAGCTAACGATGTGGGAACACAACCTCAACGAAATTGAAAAGGGTGAAATAACAGTACCTTTACCGTCCGCAGTAGTTGATTGGGAGTATTATAATAACATTAATAATCAATACTCATCAAGGCAAGGCATGGTGACAGACAGTTGTGCGAGCTGACAAACAATTAACATAAAAAAATACACTTAGTCATTGTGCTTTGGAGTTTATTCAAAATTATAAATGAATGTGCTACTTGAATACATTAACTGGCACATTTGGTATTCTGTCAACACAGGCTTTGATCCTGAGTTTAGGTGTAACATCAGTAGCGAACAGCCAATCACATGCTGATAGAGTTTATAGAATATTAAGAATTGAAACAAATGTACAAAAAATGTATTTTTTACAGGAGCGCCCCTCGGAAACTTGTGGATTGGACGACCCTCCATGTTGTCGAGCGACGAATAGGGGGTACCCTCAACGTCGGATTTTAGACGTGAGGGGAAAATGACCAAACGGCAGTATGTGATGGATAGGGGTGAGACCATGTTGAAGCGACAGCATGTGAGAACATGCTCAGACATGTGTAAGTACCACCCTTTTACTGTATACTGGCTATTATGATATGATTGGATAAATGAGAAGGTAATACGTGACGTGAACGATTGAGTCTTCCTGGTAGAACTTGCGCTGGCTTCATTTTCTTGAAACTTTCATGTCAATAAAAACCCATCTGAACTGAGAAAAAATAATAATAGAGATGCAAGAAATCAGAATAGAAATAACATGTAATTGACATGACCTTTCCTGACCTTTAAAGGGTTAGTTCGGTATTTTATACCTAAAGGCCTGTTTTAACATCGTTTCTGATGAAATAGAACGGTTAAGATTGAAATTTGGACAAATGCTGCTGTTCCGAGAATTTTTGGTTTTTGTGTTAGCATCCCAGCCAGGCCATATAGGATGACCTATCTAAAGTAAATAATTAATTAAAATATACAAATGTATCTATATAACCAGCATACACTATAATATACAGTAGTGTTTTAAAGTGCAGAAACACACAAATACATTACATTGTTATGCATACCTCTGGAAATAGAACAACACAGATGAATTGCACTTCCGTGAAGCTCAGTTGTGTTGGTGTTCAATTCAATTCAAAAGAGCTTTATTGGAATATTGCCATTTATTGTCATTATTGCTTTATTGGATTCGAATTCAGGGTATATTTGGGAAATGTTTGCAAATTGTTTTTGTCTTAGTGTATTATATTTGAGTCATGAGGTTAGAAAGTGTAGCTCTGCCTCTACCTGTCCCCTGTCACACTGAGAGCAGAGTCTCTCCTCTTGTGGGAGCCAGCTCTGTCTGTGGCGACCCTTTTCTATGGGCAGGCGATGTTCACTCAGTCTGTATGTTGTCAACATTTTTCTTAGTTTAGGACATTTTATTGTTCTCAGGTAATTTGCCTGAGTGAGTTCTCTTTTTAGGGTCAGATCACATTGTAATTTACTCTGTCTGCTTGAGTTGGTGTTGCTGTTCTGAGGCTGTTGGGGACTTGTTTACTGCAGAGAGCCTCTGGACCAGTTGTCTGGTTTCAGCTCCTGGTATGTTAGGGCTTTGTGATTATATGTCTGGGGGTTAAGGGCCCGAGTGTGCTCGTTGTACCACGGTGTGACACTCACAAAAATAGGTTTTATTTCGATTTTTATCTTTTGCTTTCTTTCCTTTTATTATAAGTTAAATAATATTGAGAGAATACACAGAAGCCCACAATGACATGCTGTTTCATAGAAAAGACACTAGGTGGCAGTACCCTTCAGTCGCGTCACTCGGGGACCCTTAGCGAGGCGCGGAAGAAGACAAGCTCATATTCCGGTTGTATGGAAAAAGAGCAACTGTTGTCCCGTGTCTCTTCTAACTGAGTAATATATTCAATGTTTCCAGGTTAGTTTCACAACTTTTGTATGACTACAAAGGGTTATAATCTAATTTGAATCCCCAGTGATGTGTGTTTGACAAGCGAAAGGTATGTTAAGTGTGTAAATGGTAAAGTCTAAAGAAAACAGTGTGAAGATGAGGAAATGGCGGCCGATGCTCGCGCTAATGTTTCCTTTTATATATTCCTAACGGCTCAGGATATTTATGAGTTATTACTGTCTATTTGTAAAGTAACTGTGTGTGTAAGACTATACATTACGGGTAATAAATAAAACGCTAATGTACAGAGTAAAAGCAATTCACAGATGTAGCTTTGGGTGAAACGCACGTGGTAGCATTGAATGCACACATGTGGTAATATTAGGCTGTAAAACAGTTTCAGTTCATAGAAATCAAGAGTAAAAGTTAGGAGACAAATGTTTACTATTGAAGTTTGTTCTTGTTTAATGTAATTTAATTGAACCTAACCTAACTGCAAATGGGATCTATTCTGTTTTATTAAGTGAACACTTTTAAAATGTATGTAAAATGTATAATGTATACAGAAATAC